TCACAAATGGGACACCACTTCAAAAGCTGAATATACCAATAATTGTTGCCGATACCCATTTTTTGTAATTAATTGTTTTTCAGTGTACTACATTACGTATTATTGTTGATAAGCATTAATAAGCATAAAAAGGTTTGTCAGAGTCTGCTAGAATGAAACTAGACAACTGAGGACATTTTTTAAACCAAAAACTAAATGTTTTATACAGAAAACGGTGAAAGAATGAGCATGTAAGACCTTCAGCAGAAAAGCCAAAAGTTTGCAATGATCCAGAGAAGTATTAGTTAGAGAAAAGCTTATCTACAGGAAGTGTGTATGAGTCAATGACCTACTTTTATTCCAGGAAATGTTCACTAGTTACCCACCATACTGTCATTTTGTCAATTTACACAAAAGTGCTGGTGACAGCTTATGACATATAGGCTTCTTGAAAGGGTGTACTATTTTGTAGTGGAATATTTTAACCACCACTCACTATGACTTTGAGATCAAGACCAACGGGTAGGTGTGAGCATTAGGATAAAGGCAACGCATAGAAAAGACTTCTGCTTTACTCTACTGAAAAAAAAAGTAATGAATGACACATTTACCTGGCCAAATTGCAGGTAAACAAAAGCAAGCTCATAAAAAAATGATTGGCTGTAGCTTAACAAACTTCATTTACCGTGGTCAAAAATCACAGGTAGCAGCAAATTGATTGAGCTCAGACGTAAATACAGTTTGGTAACTGACATCGTTCACATGGCAAAAGTGGAGTTTTGAGAAAATCCATGTGTGCATGCGAATGTTCGTTTAAAAAAAAATTGTAATAACAGGTCTCTTTAATGACTGCTTGGTGCATTGAATGAATTCAGTGAGAGCACTAAAAAAATCGTCTAAAAACTTGCATCAACATTATTGTTTGCAGACAAACTCTCCTTCGGTCTCAGATTAGTCATAAAACATAACCAGTTTTTGTTATGGAGGCAACAAACTGAGGCAAACTCATGAATATCATCATCCAATATGCTCTCCTGTGTCGTATCCATCATTACTCCTGGCCTTGGATGGCTTTTTTTGACATCCATCTGATGTGAAACTCTTTCTTGTTGTTTCTCTTGTTGACTTATCATAAATAAACACAACCATGACAGTCTCATTATAGGCAATCGATACTTTGTCGTAAAAAATTGCTTGGCTGGCATGCGGGTGCTGTGTTTGGGGGTCAGAGAACAACACTGGGTCAGTGTGAGAAGATATGTCAAAGGAGAATTACTAACATTAATCAATGAAGCAAAGAAGATAACCCAGTCAGTCACTTAATCAGGAAATCTCCCTTAACGCTAAAAAGGAAAAGGTGTGCATGAAGGTGATACTGTATAGCTGCCCAGCTCAGCTTTCCTCAGCTATATGACTTTTAGAAGGCCACACATACTATTACTTATTGAGACAGCTCATTGTGAGAACATTATCCATAATTACTGGATTACAGAAGTATTAATGAATAGGGGCTACACAATTATACAAAACAGTGGTCAATATTTCAAATTAATGAAAGGCTTCAATGTTAATGTAGAGCAGCTATTGCTCTGAGTCCAAGCAAACATTCAAACCAGGAAGTAAAACAAATTTTTGAACTAAAAACTTAATTTGAGACAAATATGGCAAAAATACTACACAGCAAGAGCAAGACTGAATCTGTATTATATAAATTACAAAAAAGTTTTGAGAAAGTCTAATCATTTTTTTGAAATTGGTTAAAGGCAAACCTTTTAATGCTATCACATTGAATTTAGAAAGGTGTTGGAGCTTTTATTATTATTATTATTATGACAAATATATCTATTACAACTGCTTTCTAAACCACTGGAGCAATGTAGTTGTTGTAAAATGTTAATACTTTTCTAAAATCAAAGATTAAGTAAAGAACTACCAATAATTCATCCAGTCACAGTCCAAATACCGAACTCCTTTTATGAACATGTGCCAACAAAATGATTTTTGCGGGAAAATGACAATTTCTTAAGAGAACAAAGCAATCTTTGGCACTTTGTCCTGACTTTTTTATCTGCAGAATAATAACAGTCACCCTGATGTTTTCTCCAAAAGGACAATCTCATGCAGGTGCCGTCACTCTGCATTAAGTGCAAAAGAATAACAGACAGGTACTGTACAGGGAAATGGAACTAAATATAGCTCACTTTTCCAGTAAGTAAAATGAACAAAACAATAAGTCTGAACTCAAGTTCAGACCCTTGATTAAAAAAGGGTAAGAAAAAAGGCTACATGTGCTTTCACATATCATGTTACTTTATTATTCTGGCTTATCCGTTTATAGTTTTCATATTCAGAGTCAGAGTCAGAGTCAGAGTTTCTTTATTGTCATTCGCACCTCATGTGGTACATGTGGTGGAGCGAAATTATGTACACAAGGTCCCAGTTACATCCAACAATAAAATGTATAAGAAAAACAGTAATGACATCTAAGATATGAACTAAGAAAAACTATGAATGTCCGATTATAACATTCTGAAAAGTGATAAACGAGTAATTTTCTTATAACTAACAAAATGGTTGTGTTACAGATGGGTAAAATATAAATATAGTTACAGTATTACAGTGGCCTGAAACTACAATTTGTCAATGGTAGCTACTTTTACAGAATAAAATTGCCCTGTTTGTTTTATTAAAATTTTGTTCTTCAAATTCATAATTTCTTTTATTTTTGTGAGTATTTTACATGCCTTTTCCCTCATTCAGGGTGCATAGATGAATTAGAGATATGAAGCCAAGGAATTTGAAAACAACCATGCATTAATGATTATTTTTTGTTATTTCTAAAAATTAAACAACAGAAAAATCTAACATTTTAGGTTCAATTAGTAGAAAATTGCTTTGATGCTTCAAAAGTGACTGCAGTGTCATAAAACATATTTACATCACTATATTTTTACTTAAGTTATTCAATTAGCATTTTTACTTTTTCCTGTTTGTGGTTGCCAGGGAGCTGGGGATCATGTCAGCTTTCATTAGCATGTAGCAAGGTGCACGTTGAACAGGTCTGGAGTCCATCACAGTGCTAAATAAAAGATGGCGAAGACAAAAAAAAAAAAAAAAACGGTGCATCCTCACAAATACCTTTATCCATTTAGAAGACTCTTCCAAGTTTTCAGATTGTAGGAGAAAACCTGAAAAAAAAAGGCAAAAAAAAAAAACCTTCCAATAGAATGATCTCAGCTAAAATTTAAACCAAAGACATTGTTTCTGTGAAATGATAATGCTGACAAATATAATACTGTGCAGGTTGATTTAAACCATTTCCTTTTGTTTATAAAACCACAGACCTTAGGTCAAAGAACAGCAGGCAGCAGGATGCAGCTGTAACACAACTCGCCACATACGGTTGTACTTTGTGCAAACGTCCAACAAAAGGTAATGTAGAAACGAGGATTCCAGTGAAATAGAATAAACTTATGACAATGTGCACTGTGAATGGGGGGAAAGGCGTCCTATTGCTCTGATCTGGAACTGTAACAGCACACAAAAGCCAACATCTATTTTAGAAACTAACATAACTCACCAATTTAAAGGAGGTCATTAAAATACAAAGACAGCACCTGAACAGGGTTTAGTGTCTCTGACAACGTTATTTACTTGTGAGTGAAGCAACAAGAGCCAGACTCAGCAGGGATCCATGCCGGGCTGCAACCTTTGTGATTTACACCACTGACTGAGCCAGACAGACAGGAAATTTTACAGCACTGGAGAACAACTTTCTCTTGACAGCCAGTTTTCTCACTGGCACAGAAAACCCACAAGGAGAGAATAAATCTTGGGAGAGGAGCTCAATAAATGATGAAAACAAAAGAGAGTCCAGAACAAGGAGGAGAAAGGCAGAGAGAGAAGTAATTACATTAGAGGTAACACATTTATCCTCAATGAAAAGGAGCAAAAGGGGGAGTCGCTAATTATTTGAGAACTGAGGGTGAAATACAGATCCGTTAATCTCTTCGGTCTGATAAATAAAAGGCACATCCACTTCATCTTTCTGCCCTGCTGTATAAGAGGAGTCTCAGTAAAAATTGATTCCATCTGTGAAAAGTCAAGTAGCTACACAGATGAGGTTATAATTTATGGATCTTAAATTCTTAATCTGCACACTCAAATAGCTAATTACAAGTTTATAATAATCCCTATAAAAATGCACTGGCCAGAATTTATCGTGCAGCCTCCAGGCAGCACAGAAATGTGAAAATAATCTTGAATGCTAATTTAAAAGGGCAAACGAAAGCCATCTGAAATACCTTTAGTCAGGCACTGCCACATCACTTACAATGAGCAAAAATGGATCAGCCAGCTTTGAATGATGAAAAGAGTTATTAAGCTCACAGTTAGTCACACTGAGGTGATTTGCATAAATGTATAAAATAAAGCCTGCAGTGAAGCAGTTTAGAGACAATGTCAAGAAGGCGAAGATGAAGCTGGAAGAGCAATTTCTGTCAAAATAAGGTGACCATTGCATACACCGGTAGCTATAAAGTGATCCTTGGGGTTTGAGGCGAGGTTAAAAGAACAGAGATGCACTAGGGATGTATGAAAGGGAATGTAATTGAGTGAGAGAACAAAGAGTGAGCTGAGAGAAGGGAGAGATGGGAAAGAAGATGGCGCCTGAATGTGATGCAGGCAGACAGTCCAAAGACCAAAGATAGAATTGATAAACTGCAGCAAGCACATCAGTGACAAGTATCATGACGCATGTGTTGACCTTGACAAATGCAAATTGCCAACTAACTGCTTGGCAGTAGACTTTTAAAAAAGATGCGAGATCAGTATTGCAGAATAAATGAAGGAATAAAATAAAATCTAACATTTGTATGACCACGAGGGACATTATCATGATAGGGTGTAAACATAACTGTCATTTACTACCAAGTAAAGAACTTTAAATGATAAAATGTCATAATTAAATAAAATGGCCTGTACGATAAGATATATTAAAGCACAGCATCATATATGCTTACCTTTGAGCTGGTCTGCCACCACACTCGGTCCTATCCTCTCGTTGACCTGTCCATCTTCATGCTGATATCGATCATCCAGAAAGTTGAACGTGGCTTGTGAAAGGTGGACTTTTCCAGCCACACCCAGCTGCTCCATCAGATTGGCGAGGTTGACATCATTCGACCAGACATCAAACTTAAAGCGTTTCATGCCCAGAATACCACATAGTACGGTCCCAGTGTGAACGCCCACCCTCATGTTCACCGTCTCCCTCTTCTCTTGACAGAACTGCTCAATGGCTTGAATCATCCCCAGACCCATTTCTACACAACAATAGGCATGATCCGGTCTGGGTTCTGGACAACCAGCCACACAATAGTAGCAGTCTCCAAGTGTGCTGATTTTTTCACAGCCTGTGAGTTCACAAAGTCGATCAAAACGTCCAAACAAGTCATTTAGAAGTCCAACTAAAGCATGAGCGGATTTGTTGGCAGACATTTTGGTGAAGCCCACAATATCTGCAAAAAGGATGCTGACAGGCTCCATTCGTTTCATGTTGAAAGGCCTGAAGATGATCTGGCCACGAGGGATGGAAGTTTTCTTGCGTTTGTTGTTTTTTGGGCTGGAGATGACAGCAGCTGCACCGCTGGTGGAGTAACGTTTAACAGAGTTATCACCAATCTCCTCATCGCCCTGCTTCATCAGCTCATCTGCTACAATTCTGGGCATAACGGAGTGAATCATTCGCTCCTTCAGGGCTTTCTCTACCTCAAGATCTTTGCCATGCATGATTGCTTGTCCAACCTTAAGAAAGGTGCTACGTGAACGCACTTCAGACATGATGAACAGGTGGATGCCAATAGCATGAGCACAGAGATGGAGCAAGGCCTTGGCTGGGCCCAACCAAATGAGTGTGTCCCAGTCTGCCGGAGAGACTAAACTCCAATTCTCCTCTGCCTGGGTCAGCTGCAACCAGCCCAAACTTTCAAACAAGACAGAGTAAATAAACCCCAGTAGTACAGAGGCATAGAGATGAAAGTGGAGGACACTGTACAACAGGAGAAGCACCTCAATACAGAGGGAGAAGGTGCCTACAGAAGAAAGACAAGGGGACCTGCTGTTACCTTCCACAAACTTATCAAAGGACTGGTTGTGCATGAACCTTATGCCACTCAAGTCTTCCAGTTCAGGTGAAAGTGTAGGGCTGTCTACCTCCCTGAAGCCTAAGGTCTGGATTTGGGGGGCCAGAGTCATGATAAAGGTTACAAGGACAAGCAGCAGAGATGCTTGATTGTAGCAGCGAGAATACAGCTGGGTAAAAGTTAAGAGGAAGAGAAGAAGGCAGAAGAGAAGGAAGGAAGCAGTGGGGAGCAGAAAAACAAGCATGTCACAACGAGATGAATTGGCAGCAAAATACAACCCCCAGAGGAAGCTGGCAGCCACCAGAAAAAAAAGCACATAACGGAATCGACGCTTGGTCTGGGGGAAACACCGTTCTCGACAGGCGTCCTCCAGGATCGAAGAATCAAACTTCGGGTCCCAAAAATGACCTGCTGATCTCTCAAAAAGCTGAGGCATCCTCGTGTGACTACGGAAACTCTTGACCGCTGGCCTCCTCACTCCAGACTCCCCAGAGCTACAGCTAGAAGAAATGCTGTACTTGCAGTGCTTGGTTGCTCCTATGAAGCCTCCCCCGATTGAACCCAGCGGCCCGCCAACATGCTTGTGTTTGACACTGCTGCCAATTCTCACAGAGACGCCTCCATCTCCACTTGAGTCACAGCTCACTTCTGTGTTGTGAGGCAGCAGCTGCTGATGTTGTGGAGATGCCATGCTGTCTTTTTCGCTCTATGGGGAAATCAATAACCAAGAAGACACAGTGACTTGCGAAAAAAATGTAGACAAAAAGGTAAGGCAGTGTATGTTGCCACAATACAAGGTGCTTTTATACCTGCCAGAGCAAGCTAAAACGAAAACACCAACAGAGCAGTTTTCAGAAAGAGTCCATTCAGTTTGCAGTCCTTTGGCTGTAATTTGACCAGCAGAGTAAAATTTCAGACTACTTCATTACTGCCTCTCTTGACGTCAGTCTCTGCATTTCTTTACATTCCCTTGTTTTGACACACTTCTGACTGCAAGGTCCACTTGCTGCTTGTTCTAATCCAATCCAAGTCGACTCAGCAGCCCACACTTTGCTTCACTCATTGAAAAATATTTAGGAAAACTGAGAAAATACTGTGAATAAAAAGGAAAATCAACTGATAATCAATATGGGCTTAGAGGATGCCTGAAGTTGTAATTCTTAGTATGAGAATCCTCTTAAATTTGGAGAGCTCAACAAGGCAATAAAATTAATACTTTAATGTCCAGTCCACTTAATTCCTTAAGCTTTTTTCTCATTTCCAATGAGCATGTTCAAAAATACTTTCTTAATAAGACCATGTTTGTTTATTTGGTAAACCTTCATGCAAAGCAAGACTGCAGCAGAGTTTCTGTCACTTGTGTGGCTCAAAAAAGATCAGGGAAGAGAAACATGAGCGCAGAGGGTTTTAAAAACAGCCTCGTGCTGCTTCTGGGCCTAATGGCAACTGTTTTCACGGACCGAGCCCCGTCCTTTCTTGATTTTCCACTCCGGTGCCCCCCACCAGCGCCGGGTATCCCCTACCCAGAGGAGATTTTTTTGAGCAAGCAAGTCTACAGGAGATGGATACCTTGTGGAAAATTTGGATTCATTGCTCCCCGAGGATATACACAAAAGCACTTGAAGTCCAGCGTTGAATTTAATTCTGTTTTGATCACATGTCACCAAATCATCGTGGAGACTGTGCCCCAGAAAAAACATCCAGAAAATCTCACCGTGGACGTTCCTGAGTGACAGCTGCGCAGAAAATGTAACCTCCCGCAGACAAGAAGCGTTTTTCTCCCCAATAAAGTTTCTCGCTGTCGCTGGGTCACCTCCTGCAAACACACTCCCCAGTGAGGAGTCGGGCTAAACTAAAAGGTCTCCACCTCCTCTCCACGCCCCCCCTCCACATTCACACCTCAGTTCCACAGGTTGAAGCTCAGCGCCGCTTTCATCCATCCACTTTAATTTATAGAGCTCTGGTCGAATGGCTGCCGTCACACATCCGAATAAAAACACTTTAATCCCAGAATTATTTGGTATCAGGGCTGCTCCAAAGTCCCGCCTTTGTATTCCCAGTAAAATAACACGAATGTCTTCTCTCCGGGTTATTTGGCCATTTTCTGCACGACGGGGCAACTGAAACGCTCTGCGCGCATTTCTGCGGCGGTGCGCAAAACACTGCGGCTGCAGCCGCCACCATCTTCTGCGCGCGCTGACAGCCGTCCAGCCGCGAGGAGTGAGTGTCTGAGAGAGAGAGAGAAAAGGAGAGGGGGGAAATCACAACACAATTAAAAAGGACCACTTCCGCTTTGTCCTTTAACAATAAAAGCTCAGTGTGGTGTTTTTATAGGCGGTTATAATATTTACAAACATGATCTTAAAAAGATGCTTCGAAACGTGGAGCGTTGGAAAGAATGTGAACTAATAATATCTTACCTGTTGTAGATTACGCTTTGAACGAGGTCAGCTGAGTTTGAAATAATGAGTTTTGTCCTCTTATTTGCCATAGAGTGCCCTTTATATTAAAATGAAATGTAATGGTTTTCAAAAAATTTTAACTGAAAGTTGTCATCAACTATACAGCTTGTGCGCTAGAAACTTGTCACTTGATACAGTAAATGTAGTGGTTGGAAATATGCTAGAAAAATGTGATCTGAAATTATATTTAAAACATTGATTTTAAATATAAAAACTGTTGACGCTATTGTAATAAATTTGTGGGTCACATAGGCAGAAAATCTTGCCTAGAATGTCAGAACCGTCAAACAATCACCACACACACCAGGAGGTTATGAAAATAAAGACTTTATTTATGCCTCTAATACTCCTTTAAAACCCACCCTTCCACCTGAACCTCACCCCAAGCTAACAAATAAAGGCCTCGAATAAAGATTAAATGAGTTCACACAGCTCACCTAGTGGTGAGACCCCTCCCCAGGGTCTAAGCTTGTGATGTCGTCCAAAACCCCTGGATTGACTTAGCTGGACGACGATCAGACCTGCTGGACTGGCTCCACACCAGATCAGAGCAGCCAACAGGAATAGAAGCAGGAAACCAAGATGGTGACTGCACCCAGCTAAAGTTCAGCCCTGACTGTCCAAAGGAGGCACTCAGCCTCCCCTCCTGAACACCTAAACACCTTTCTGACTGTCTTTGTCACCGGCAGCCCTAAATGACTAACGACACCCTCCCTCCAAAAGGGTGCTGCCACAACCACTGAAAGGCCCTCCATTTGTTTGAGAGTCCTTTATCCAGTGTGCTGCTCCTTGACTGAGCACACCTGTCTCTGATTAGTGTCTTTGCCTCCTCTGATGAGTCTTGCCCAAGTACATCACATGTTGTAACTCACAAAATAAAGCAAGCCATATTCCACTGTTATGCCACACAGCTAATTTTAATTAATTTATACATGCACACAAAAAATCTAAAAATGGTTACAAAATATTGTGTAGGCAATAATACACAATTCTTGTATATAGAAGGTTGTAACTGAATAAAGTTACAGTCCATACTTGTGTAAACACAAAGTGTACAGATGTTTGTCAATGAATTTTATGTTGGTATTATAGAGATTAATTACATTTTCTTAGTCAAAACCAGCAGAATTACAGTCTGTTGTCCATTATTTCAGATGTCGATGTGCATTTCAGTAGATCACCCTGACCAGCACATAATTATAAAATACTCCGTGTTCAAGGAGGTGTTCAAAATACACACAAAATAGCCTTGTCCCCTATCCCCTAAACTAGAGTCTACTATATAATAACAAATTCAATTCAATTCAGTTTATTTATATAGCACCAAGTTACAACAGAAGTCATCTCAGGGCACTGAACAGAAACATTCATATATAAACGTAACAAGTTTGCAAAAACATTCATAAATATAATAATTTACCACTATTTATCTGAGGATCAGACTACCACAATGTAATGAGTGAGTGAATGAGTGAATATTTCAAATAGCCACTAAGTTTAATTCTGATTGATTAGTTAATGCTAATCTAAGCAAGGCCCAGAACAAAACCTCTTCTTGTGCTCTTAAAACTACTTCAATCTCAAAAGTTTCACAGCAGTTCATAAAAAACACTCAGTTTTGTATTACACAACAAGTGACATTGACTTTTATGGTTGTTCAACTAGTACAAATGGCAAAAGCAATAGCTAGCTGTGTTTTTTTGTATTGAACGCTTTTTGAATAGCTAGCTGTAGCACTTCCGGTACGAATTTTTATTTATTTATTTTCCCCCTACTGGTAGAGCCGGTTAATCCCCTCTAGATCTGTTTGTTTGCTTATAAACACTTATTTTTGACATTTGTTTTGAAAATATTTTACTTCCGTTTTGCTGATGACCGCTAACTTGACGCTGCTGTCTGTGCTTTGCGACCCAAGGGATGGAGAAGAAAGACTGAGCGCGAGAGGGGAGGGGGCAGAAAGGGTGAACATGCACGCACACCTGGTGGAAAAACAAAAGCTCGAGGCTTCAACGACAAGAAAACAGCTGTGTCATACAATGACGCAAGTTTTTAGCCCTAAGATGACTGAAGTCCTGCAATGTTGCAAGATCATTTTGAAACTATATATGGTATGAGACTGAACAAAACAGAGGAAGAACACTGAAACAGATGTGCAGTTTGGGTAAAAGACAACAACTCCCCAGCTTTATTGCTCTGTGCTGTATTCAGCTGCCTGGAATGAATACTAATCAGAACCTCTGTTGTTTCACAGTTCAGTTTAAGGGTTTGCTGTGGGAACCCAGTTCTCCTCCAGCATGAAAAATAAGAAAAGGGATTTGAAAATTTGATTTACACAGTGGAAGTTAATATTACAAGTCTTTACTGATATAAAATTACATTAAAAAGCTGTGAAAAGGGAAACCTTTGAAACATTTATTCAATCTTTTTGTTTAAAATTCGAGTATTTATTTCCCTAAAACATTTTTAGAAGGACTATGCTTATTTGTATCTGAGCTTCAGAAGTTATTTTTATTTTTTAGCTCAGTCAGATAGACTTCCTTCCTTCTTTTCCCCCCAGGTTGTTTTCAGTCATGTCTTCTGGTCAGCTATGCTGTAAAGTCCCACACTTTCAACAGTGACTAATTTAACTAAATCTGAACATATTACTGTATTTAGCGTCATCTGTCTTTTCTCAGTTAATCAATAAACAGTATTGATGTGGTGCCACTGGAAACTTGGTTTATCTATATCGCAGTATCTCATGTCTTAATGGCACAGTGACCTTAGTTTTGTCTTTCCAATCATGCTAGTCCAGTATAGCTTTGATTTTAAAGTTTTTAAGGCTAACATGTTCTTCCATGGTCTTCTTAACAGATTCCATCTTTCTATGAAGCCAAACAAGTTATTCACCTGAAAGGATTTCATGAATTGTCCTTCAACCAGTGCCATATGATCCTGTGATCTCCATGCGCTTTTCACCAATATGTTTAAAAACAAAGCAATCTGATCAATTTATTTATTTATTTATTTTTGCATTTGCTCTCATGGACTGGTTTTGTTTTGGCAGTCTGATAATGGCCTGCTTGACTTCCCTTAGAAGGTGGATGACTGCTTTGGAGCCACAGTAACAAGCTTCAAAACTCCACAATGGGAATAAAATGCAAGATTTTTCAGCTGCACCGAGCAAGCTACCACAGCCCCTGAATGACAATATTCTTCCCAATATTCTTCTTCTTCTTTTGTAGATGCACATCCTATAATTATTTCTTGAATGTTTCATTAAAATTCATCATGTGGTTCATGATAACTTTTGCTAACAAAGAGGGTTGACTCCAAAAGTTAATGATACCATTTTAAAACAGATTTTGCACAGTTTGTGCTCAGAGTATAGGTTAGGGATGACCCTCAGTTACCAACACACCACATTTTCGCTTACTAATTATAAAATCAGCTGAATTACAGTTATTAATGATGTCTGCTATCTTTACAGGGTCTTTGCATTGGCTTCCATTCATTTTTCATTCATTTCTATAGCCTAACCCTTACCCTAAACCTAACTATTACCAGCACATACCTAACCCTAAATCACCAACAGCATTTCTTCTTATGGGACCCAGACTATGGGCCCCATAAGGAGCAGTTGGTCCTCACAGTGTAGTATGTGATGGAAAAATGGGCCTTACAAGGTAACAAATACACACACACACACACTCCTCACGACTTTCAGTCACTAAGGTGTTGGTGCATTGCAGGTGTAGAGAGAGAAAGAGAATCATGCTTTCCAAACCAAAGCAACTTTTCTAACATTGGTTTACAAAGAGTGAGAGAAAGAAATGAAACGCCGGAATATGGGCTGTAGGCTAAAGGAATGTAGACTTGTGAGAAAACATATCTCTTTTCATCTTTATGCTCTTTTCTGTCAAAATAACTGCAAAATTTATCTGACTCGATAGGCCTTTATCAGAAGTCTTTATTCTTTTTCATGAAATATTCAAAACCTGTACAGATAGGGTACTGTAAATGCTGAAGACAAAGGTGAATCAGCAATAAATTTAGGTGGACATGCATCCATTTAGTGTCTAAAAGGTGAATGAAGTGAAGTGGTCTATTTTATTATTTGAAAACATGACTATTATCCTACAACCTTACATAAACTTCAAATTTCTGCCATGCTGAAACTGACATTATTTTTTACTTTATGGTGCATCCTCCTCTAGTGGTTATGATATAGAGCTGCAGCAAAAACAGACAAACCCCATGGAAAACTCACCTTTAACAGAATAAAATGTTTATTTATCTGCTTCATGTCTCAGCAAATAAAAAAAAGAAAGAACTCAAAGAGTCAGTGAGACAGATAACATTGTGTTTATCTCAGCCTTACCAACCTGTTGTGATTTTATAACGTTGCATTTAATAAAATAGAATCTTTTGAAAGTTTTTATTTGCTTCACTCTCTAATTAAAAAGAAACAACAAAACCACTCAGCGTTTTTTAACACAGCTTAGGAAAAATCCAGAAAAAAAGACCAGTCTGGCTTTATCAGAAAATGTAAGTTGTTCACATCTGAAACTAATAGTATCCTTTCACTAATGTGAGTTTTATTTAACAGAACATTTTTACATGGAGACAAATAAAGAGATATTTAAACAAAAAAATGCTAGACTCTCCTCAAACTGTTCAGCAGATTCTGACAAAATTTCTAAAAGCTGTGTATGACCAAAAAATACCAAGTCAACGTATTTCGAGCAGGTTTATTAGGGAAATCCTTCAGAGTTATGCAACATGAGCATTTGCAGCTTTGCAAGTATAACTTTCTACAAAACATGAGAGCAAACTTGCGAGATTTCATGTTTTTGTAGAGGTCAGGGGTCAATTCACGAGCCCTCCAATCCGCACTGACAGTCATCCACCCCTACTTTCTTACAGTGATGGTTCAAAATTGGACTTTATAGTTTACACAGTTTAACAATCATTTGTAAGATTACACAAAAAATAAAATAAAAATAAACTTTTAACTCATGAAAGAAATGGCAGAGGGAATATAAAAAGACAGCTGTAACTCAAGCACTTCATTCATTAAGTTTTTTATGGTCACTGAAAAGAGACATGCAGGGCAGCTTATTACTGAAAGAAACAAAATAAACTAACACAGTACTGAATTTCTACCGAACAGTGGCACATTTCTAGACTCAAACAAACAGGAAGAACAGTTAAGAAGTGAGGCAGATTGAACAAGTCCTTTCTGCTTTGAAGACTCTTATCCTTGAACCCTGACCTCTGCTTATTTCACAGGTTGTCAACAACCAGAACTAATGAACGTTCAAACGCAACGAAAGAAAACAGGCCTTATTTGATGCTTGCAGGATTGGTTCATGTGATTAAAAGCACTGTGAGATTCTTTTTTTTTGTTTGTTTATGAAAGAAGGAAAACTCATGCGACTATAAACAAAATGTGCTATCTAACATGCAAAGAAAGTCCATCTCAAAAGCAAAAGATTTGAATGATCAGCCAAATGTAAAAACTTTTTATAGCACCCACAAAATGACTACTTCAAAAACAACTTCTGAAGCTTTTGGAATTGACCTGCTGCAATGAATTTCTGTCTCCATTCTTCTTGTTTTGTTCACATACAGCGGAGTTGGTATTTGTCTTGTTTTCAGTCTCATGGTTGCTCTTAATGATTCATTGCTGTTTCTAGTTTTCTTCACATCAGTGGTTCCCCAAGCTCACAGTTTGAGACAGTCCAGTGTGATTGTGCAAGGAGAGGAGGGTGTGTATTCTGTCAAAACTCTGTGAACAGTGGTGTGTTCAGCACTTTTTGTCCTTAAGCTGCCTTATTCAAACACTAACTGGATCATTCTCAAAGTCCCCAAATGCATCTTTCCCTCGTTCTCCAGAGAAAATAATATTATTAATAATAAAAATACTCATACTTTTCTGTGTTCTGTCTCCCTAACTATACCAATGTCCCGACAAAAATCAGGATTGACCCTTTCTCTTACTTTCTCTGTCTCCTTTCTTTCTCTTCTTGAGTTATTTTACATTCCTCAGTTCTTTCTGTAACGATTCTTTGGCTTCTCACCACAGCCGGTTGCCTCGCAGGATGACAGGCCAGGCTGCTTGCCAGAGTTGATGCTGCTCAGAAGAGCGGGCAGCTCATTGGTTATTGCCTTCTCAATCTTTTCTAACAGGCATCCTCCAATGTAAGAGCACTGTGCTGACAGAGGCTTGAAGTTGGCGATCGGGTTGATGCCGAAGAAGTCGCGGTAAGCATCTCGGTTGGGTAAGTCAAACTTGCTGACGTTGGTCTTGGCCAGGATTGATTTAAAAATATAGAACTTGTCAGGGTCATCCACAATCTCCTGGAAGACTAGCTCAGGGTCACTGAAGAAGCTCATCTTTTCTTTAAAGGTCTGGACATAGCGGTCCACCAGCAGGCCATGGATACGTACACGAATGGCATGTTGGCGGATGAAAGCAATCTTGTTCTCCATACGATTCTCAATCACTTGGTTGAGGTCTTCCAGAAGGGAGATTTCCTCACGCTTGAAGAGCTCGCGACTGGTGTCAGGTGCGTAGTCATAGGGCCAGAAGGAGCTGACGTAAACTCTGGGAGGTTCAGTGACATTAATGAGGGGAGCTAAGCTCCAGAAGAGTGCTCCATAGACTCTCATTAAGTCCTGGGTGGCCAAGTTGTCAGCCTTGTTAAGGATGATGCGGATCTGGGACTCTCGACCTTTCAGCTGGCGGAAAAGCATCTCCAGCTCCAAGCCGACGTCCAGCTTGGTGGGGTCAAACACCACAAAGATTAGATCTGCACGGTCTATGAACCACTGGCAAACATCATTAAAAGGGTAACCTGAAAAGCAACAAAACAAATTGTTACTAAAACATGCTGAGTTGTACTTTCTGATAGGGACATAAACTGAATCTCTCTTCTTCACCTCTCTCCTGCTGCTTTCGGTTCTCGATAATTCCAGGGGTGTCCACAAACGTCACCCGCTCCAGCAGTTTGTGAGGCATCTCGATACCAATCAGCTTTTCAAGGAAGTTCTGGCCAAACTTTTCCAGAGGAGAGAAGGAGCGAGAGCTGTCTGCTGCCATAACAATACCCTCAACAGAGCGGATTTTCTCCCCGTGCATAATAACTGTAAACTCAGAGGTAGTGGGCTCAGCTCCTGTAGAGCAGAGTCAAAGAGGAAGAGACATTAGCCAGAACATTTTAGAGAGGACGTAAAGATGTGAACATCCATTGAAAATGGAAAGTCAATTTCACAAAAGACTACGGTTTCAATCTTTGTGTTTTTTTCCTACTTTATTAATCATAATGAAATTCTTGCAGTTACACCCTGATGTGTGTTCACATTATATTTAGATAAAACACCTGGCTTTCCATCCCTTTCAGATCCAGTTCAGATTTAATTCAGGATAATTGCCTCTTTCAGATGTTTTAGGCATTTAACACAATATAGAGGTAATTTAAAAAACATGGTTGTATATAAAAATCTGCAAGTATGTACATGCATACGTTTTTTCTACTCCACTTTCTTCCCATTAACCAAAAACATTCATGTTAGGTTAACTGGTAACTCCAAATTGCCCCTAGGTGTGAGTGAGCATATGATTGTCTCATTTGTCTCATTTGTCTGGTCCTGCTCTGGACTTGTGACCTGTTCAGGCCACCTGTTGGAGATAGGCACCAGTTCCCCCGTGGCTTGAAAAGGAAAAAGTGGATGAAGAAATAGATGAACGGTTGTATAATATGTACCTGTGTAGAGCTGATAGGGGCTGTCATTTAAACCCAGGAGGTAATTGATCATGGAGGACTTTCCTACACTCCAGGGTCCAAGGAACAGCACCATGGGCTTGGAAGTAATCTCACCATCTGTTGAGAAAATTAATACAACGGACTAAATATAAATATAAATAGCAATACAACATTTTTAGAAACCTATCCTAAATGTACCTGTCTTTTTCCCAATAAACTTTTAAACAGTGTATATAAAAAGTCAGGATGCTGTGCAAAATTTGACCGGAAACAGGAGGCAATAATCAGTCCATAACCTAAAAACAATTTAGTTGGGTAAAATATATATATATGTATATATGCTCATGTAAATATGTTAAAAACATTGCCAGCAACAATAACAACAATAATAGTGTTGGCAAAGATAGATGTGTATAACTGTGAAAGACAGTGTGGCTCTGTTAGTTCACATTTCATCAAGTTGCAAAACATTTGAAAATTCCACTATCAAGCAGATTATGCTGTACATAGAGACCTTTGTAAACCAAGGTAATTAAAAACTAACATTAGTCAAGGTCTTCAACCTCTTAGGCAGCACTGCATTCAAAAATAGCTAAATATCAGCGTGGGCTAAGGGACACTTGTAAAACTTTGTTTTTGATTAAGTTGTTAATAAAACCTCACATTTCATTTAAAACAGCACAACATAAATGGAGTATAAGATTCAAAACGCTGCTGCCTTTTATAATTAAATGGACGAGATACAATGAAAAACTTTCTATACTAAACTAAATCAACAGGTAAATATAGTTTTAGAAAATGTGAATGTTAAACCCAAGGAACAAAACTTAAAATTAATATATTAATTCAAAGTGAATGGGAAAGTCTTACACAAATATGGGACATGACAAGGCTGAAGGAAGTTATTAAACATCATATTCACTTTATGGTGATTTTTATCACAGCACCCCAACTTCTTGAAAATTGGGGTTTTACATAAACTAAAATGGACGCCTGAGAACAAATCTGAACAGGATTGTAGCTTCCAAAGTAGGGCTGCATATACTTTTTTTTATTTTGACAGAAAAGAAAATAAGTAATAAAATAATATAAAGTCTAATTAAAAAGAAATATTATAAGTTTCAGTTGCTAGCAGCATAAAGTTAAAAACATGCAGTCATATTTCACATAATCTCTGATGGGTCACTCTGGAAAAGACACTTTAAAGCAAAAACATCAAAGCAAGCTGCCATGTGTGTTGAGTGAACATGGTTTAGGGGTGGTTGTTCATCGTGGTTTGTTTTAAATTCAAATTAATTCAACAGGTGATTATGAGAAAATATAATGTAAATTAGAAAGACAAAAACACATTTGAAGAATAAAAACTTCTCCTTCTGAAGCCAATAACTTTCAGAACTAACAAAAAGAAAACAAAGAGGATAGGTTAGATCTTTTGAAGTGGGTTCTGTAGAAATTTAATAAAATAATAATATCTTACATGTTACATGAATTGGACTGACAAGCTGGTCCAAGTGGGGCCAAGACCAAGATGCTGCCTCTTTAAACAACTCAACTCTCAAAAATGTATTTGTGGTTCATGCTAATAATACTTATTAAAATGTTACACTGCAGTCAGTTTAGCCTTACATGGTTATCCCAGCAACAACATTATGATATTCATGTTGCAAATTCCCTGGGCTACACAACAAATGCTCCAGCTAGTTGCTGCTGTTTGTGCTTGTAAATAACCACATCCTTTATAAATAACTGTGCAATGCACACGTGAAGTTGGTGTAAATGTTTGTAAAACAACATATGCACAAATCACAATGAAACATTTAGGACCGGAGCGTTTTAACACAAGAATAATAAGTCCTGCTGGACTTTGTGCTTTCTAGATGAAAATTAAACTCTGTTTCACCACACTGAACACTTTCAAAAAGCTATCTGCAACAGGTAAGATACTATTTGTTTATAACCTTTTCCACAAACCGTACTTCAAAACATCTGGATTCTAACCACCCTGATCCACCAGTATCCACTCTTCAAACAGGTGTGCCTTTAGATTAAGCCAAAGCTGGGCATGCAACCCCCTCCATAGTTTGAACTCTATAATTACAAAATACCAATCAGGCTCGTTTTAAATGTTATGGATGTCTATGAACATTAGCAAACTCACGTTTGGCCACATAAATATATTTTTGTCCTCCCCTTTTTATTACTATATATGTTTTTAGCATTACAGCTTTCTGTGGACTGAAGCTTTCACTCATGGATCACTTTCACGACAACCCAGTCCACTGCATTTTATCTGGTGTTATCCAAAGTGAAGCATGTTTGAAATATTTTGATCAACAGAGAGCAAATATGTCAGGGAAAAAGGGGCTTAGCACTTCAGGCAGTGCCATGCACAGGTAAACCCTGCCTACACCCACCTGTGGCTGAGTCCCCCAGGGTTCGTCCGGGGTATGCTGTTAGATGAGGGAAGGGGTGGAGGTGGGGGGATGAGGGGAGGACAGGAAAGGGTGGAGTACAGAGAGGTGAAGGAGGTGAATGAGAGCTCAGTAAGGGAGTAAGGTTTCTACAAGCAGCGAGGAGGGAGTGTCGATGAATGAGTGGGAGATCATGGCTGGATTTCTTGGAGGCATATTTGACCGACTTGTCAAACATGCTTGTCAACAAATGGATGGTGCAATGTGGACTGGTAAAGTTGGAAATTTACTCTTTTGTACAAAAAGTAAATGTTCATTTAGAGACATCATAGAAAAGCATTTATCTGCATGCAAAACCACAAGAGGGCACAATTTATTTTATTCTAAGGCGGCAGAAGTTATTTTTGGCACTTTGCAATGACTAAAATCTAAATACACAAAGCCACTCAAAAGATGTGCTATAATAAAAAAAAAAACATCTGGAGAAAAAATAACAAGAACACCTGTGGGAGCACAGGTGTAATTCATAAACTGAATGTGCAAATGATTTATTGTTTCATTATACATTTATTACTCTTTAACTGAACCTGCTTGGGAACTCCATGAATGAATAAAGAACAAAAGTTTATAACTGTGATCTGTTGACATTAAAAAGTTTATGCATATTTAAAAACAAGTTTTAAAAAAGAACCCAAAGAGTCATAAAAGTACACAACTGAAGCAAATTACTGATAGGATATGACTGAAGTCTCTGTAATACCTGAGATCTCGTGCTGCCTCAGCTCGTTGTACCTATAGGCCTGCTCCATCGGCTTGATGGACGAGTGGTAGATCTTCCTCAGCTTCTGGATGGCAGCTGGAAAAAAAGAGGAGAAGAGAAAGTAGGGTCAAGATGTTAAGGATTACATAAGCATCATTATCAGCAGCATTGTTACAAATTTCATTAGAACTATCTAAAAAAAAAAACCCACTATTATTCCATTTTTCCATTGAAAGCAGGTGAATTTGTTCTGTTTTTATTACAACACAGCCTAAATATAATGAGATTTCGTAAATATTACAAAAATCTAATTAGGTATTTTACTTACCAACAAAATAGTTTAATATTTTATAAATGTAAATGTTTACATTTGTTTTATATGTACATATATCTAATATAATATGCATAATAGTTTTACAGTGAAACAGGTTTACATTTATTAGTTTTTCAGTACTGATGCACTGCTTCATGTAGTTTTATGGTACTTTACTGTGGAAGGAAAAATAATACTGATTATTGCCTAGAAATTATTGTTACAGTACTTAATAAACCGTAGGTGTGAAACTTCAGAAACTGTGGTTAAAGATTTCTGACTGCAGTTATCAATCATTTTATGTATCAGAATAGAAGACATTTTTATTAAGCATTTTACGAGGAAAATTAAAAGCATCAGTGTTACACTGCAATTAACTTGCACAGTCGAACAAAATGCATGGGTTTAAATCACTCGTCAGCAGAGCATATTTTGGTTTGATACACATCCTAACAGCAATAAGTGTAAATTGAAGGGAAAATCAAGGGAAAGTGTCCATTTGAATTATGGTGGTTCACATTTTATGCATATTACAGGCCAAACTTTAAAAAGTCAGCATTGATTCAGTCGTTTTTCCTCCTCACCTGCAAAATCTGCTGCTTTTTCCTCTGATGCAAGCCGCAGAGTTTCATCGATGTGAGATCTGTCTCTCAGGGTGGAGATGAAATCTTCCTCCTCTGAAATAAATGTGAAAAAACAAAGCATCAATAAAGTTGCTTCATTCTATCACTGTGCATCTCTAATTTGTTTCATGCCAGCATAACTACAACAAAGTGCTTATAGAAAATAACAATGATTGCACGACCCTTTACTGTTGGTTATCAGCATACAGTACTAACTATAGCAGTTCATTTGAGATATTTACACATACAAACCAAGACATCAAGGTTCATGCTCAATAATCCAAGTAAAAAAATCCATCAAAGTTCATTCAGGTCTTCTGGAGTTTTTTTTTATTTTTTATTTTTAGACGTTTTATCCTTCATCCAAAGGACTTCATCAATCTGAGGAGCCACAAACAAACTGTGTCCCACAAGCAGCACACTCTCATAGTAGACGAACCAGTTTGCTGGTGATAAGATAGTAAATATAATAAGATGAAGTCCTTTGGATGAAGGACGAAACATCTCAACGAAAAAAGAAACCATCCAGATGACCTGACTGAACTTTGTTGGATTTTTTTACCTGGATTTTTGAGCATGAACTTTGATGTTTGGAACTACTTTGGCTATGGCTGCCTGAGAGGAGTCGGCAGGGGAGAGGGCAGCCCTCAAAAACCATCCTATCACCAGCAAACTGGTTGGTCCACTATGGGAGTGTGCTGCTTGTGGGACTCAGTTTGTTTGGTGGCTCCTCAGATTGATGAAGTCCTTTGGATGAAGGACGAAATGTCTCAACAACAACAACAAAAAAGAAACCATTCAGGTGACCTGACTGAACTTTGTTGGATACAAATCAAGAGGTTTTTTTTAAAGATCTTTTGGAAATTAAGAACAAAAAACACATTATTTTTCATAAGTCCATTTCACTAAAGCTCTTAAAGCAGTTTCTTAGATGACAATTGACTGGGTGGGTCCATTGTCAAGTTAAAAAAATACATTTCACTTAGGCAGAGAATCTGAGAGATCATATTTGCTTCACTTGACATGTCCTCCTCTGAACCTATCAGATTACTTTGATCACAGCTGTCAGCACAATCAGTTCTTAATTTAGAAAGCAAATATTAAAAATAAACATACAAAGACATGGCATGTCCAGAGGCTTTATGATACACAGCAAAGAAAAAAGTCTGACACAGACTGGGACTTCCCCAGTTTCATAAAGAGGCTGGGGTCGAGTGTTCCCTTCAGTAATAAAAATAATGATGTGCAATACTCTGCCTTTTATCAGCTATATTTACCCACCAATCAAACTTTTTGGGTGGTGAGGTCTGTCCTTGTGTGTCCACCTTAGAATGAGCAGTAACACCTCCCACACAACACTGAAAAAAAAAAACCTGCTACAGCTTTTATTAATAAAGTTGTATTGTATTGCATTTATACATGAGAGCTTTAAGGAAGTCTCACTTGTTTACTCTTTTTTTGTGCCCTGTGTCCTTAATCACATCTGTAAAATACATTACGCCACACATGCACCATGATCTAAATGTTGTTTTACACACTATTTCTGTGCTTCATGTAAGCAGACACATGCTCCATTTATTACACAGGAAACATATGTATACAGCCTAAAATAAATCTGCAACTTATGTTCTCAAAAATATTATCAGATTGAATCATTTACATGCTAAAAAAAGTTTGATGTTTAAATGTACAAGTCTATCAAAATGCCAGCTTTCAAGCAAATGCTCTATGGTTCTACTATTTCTATGAGATACAGGCAGATTTGAAGAGAAACTTGATGAAAGGTACAATAAATATTTGAATCTTCCTTGAAACAGACAACTCTGATCGACATAATCGAACTTCCACCACAACAAATCTAAGTTGAACGATGACTTTGTTTGCTACACCTAATAATAAACGCTCACTACCACTGCTGTGGAATCCTAACACCACCAACAGGAGTCAGCCATGTAACAATGATTTTTAGTATTTCTGGCCCTGAGTCAAAATGGCACATTGCTTTGGGCAAAATGCATCCACGATGCATTTAATGATGCATAAAATGATGGCAGCATGTTTGTTTACAGACAAGAACCAAGCAGGCCTTTAGAAGATGAATATATGTTCAAATTCAACTAAATCATCAGTACTCATTTATAAAAATAATAAAGAGAAATCCATTTAAAAATACAGTTTGCTTGACATACAGACAGTTAAATAGCTAATGGTATTTCAGACTAGAGAAATATAAATTAGGCATTTGAGGATATGCAGTTGTCAGGGGAATTTAGGTAGAGGTCAAGGATGCACTAATGTTAAATTAATGTATAACCAGGTAGAATTGTTTGTCTGATCAGAGAGGAGCCTGCAGGAGCACCTGATAAACTCCAAGGCCTTTAAGCTGGAAAGCAGAGGTTGTCTTGACCTCTTCTCTGTCTGATAAGCATTATGAAAAGGCACTTCTTTATACTGTCCGTGGGCAGAACTTGCAACTGGAGTTTCAATGTAACATCTGTGTAAGCCTGTGTGTTAACTCTGCCTCCCCTTGCAAGGAATAAATTGGGTTGAAAATCTTATCGTATCCGCAGCATGGTGGCGCAACTGGTAGAGCTGCTGCCTCTCAGCGAGCAGGTCCCTGGTTCAAACCCCGGTCCAGGGGCCTTTCTGGGTGGAGTTTGCATGTTCTCTCCGTGCATGCGTGGGTTTTCTCCGGGTACTCCGGTTTCCTCCCACAGACCAAAAACATGCATGTTAGGCTAATTGGTAACTCTAAATTGTCCCTAGGTGTGAGTGAGAGAGTGAATGGTTGTTTGTCTCGTTTGTCTCTATGTGGCCCTGTGATGGACTTGCGACCCATCCAGGGTGTACCCCGCCCCTCGCACAGTGATTGCTGGACATGGGCACCAGCGACCCCCGTGACCCAAAATGGAATAAACGGGTAAAGAAAATGGATGGATGGATCTTATCGTATCCTCAGAGTGTCTTATTGGAGTAATGAGTTGATGATAGGATAATTAAATTATCCAACAGCAATAATAATTAATAATGATAAAGATCGTGAAAAAAAACTACAGTGACATTTGATTTCAGCTTTAACTAAAATAAAGTCATTCGTTTGCAGAGAAGCAGCAGCGACACATATAGAACAACACAACAGAGCTGATTCTCACCAAGTCAACTTGCTATAAATAAATGTGTGATGTTATTCCCAGTGCAAGACCAGGAGACACCACAAGTGTTAGAGGCCAAAATATAAAATGGATGTGGGTAATATATAAATACATTCATTTTTTTAATCTGTAAGTCGCCATATTTTGGACACGGTAAGCTAAATATTTTGTTTTTATTTTTAAATTACTTTGTATACTGTTGAAACTTGTGAAAAGAGCTGTTGTTCCAAATTCTTATAATGCAAGTGCACTAATGTTAGCAAAGGGGCCATGTTAGTTAGCTCTGTCTGATGAGCCTGATGTGTGCATTCAGAGCGACTATGGGTGAGAAATGATGACACTTTTAAAACTTGGTGTCATTTCCCCCAAGTAAACTGGATGGGCTTGTTTTTCAGCAAGCCCATTGACAAGTGCAGCTTTCAAGTCTATTCTATTATTATTATTAGACCTTTACAGGTTAGTTCCCACTGAGCCTCAAAGACTCATTTACAAGAGAGACCTGTTACATACAACATACAGGCAGATGAGAAAAAGAGAACACGAGAGTGGAGGAAGCCAAAAAAAAGCATGCCTCACACCATTTCCTGGCCAGGAAACAGTATAAAAGATGAAAAAAAGGACCTTGCAACATAAAGCTGGATTCAGATGATTCAGATAAACAACAAATGTTTGGGCTGCCAGGCTCTGTCTTCTGTCCATCTTCAAAGTTCTGCTGGTACACTCAATGGCAAATCCAAACTGTCAGAATTAGTGGATATTCCGCCCAGTCCGTGTTCGATTTAGCATTCTCCAAAATTGAATCCTTCGTGCTGTCAAGTTCCAGAAGCCACAAGTGGCCTACGATTCGCAGAAATCATGTCCAGCTTGCAGTTGAGCTCAGTAAGCATATGAGTCTGAGCGCTCGAAGCATGAATTAAACTTTCACATAAGGCTGGCAGCTTTACCGTGGCCGAAACTGCTGCCGACGTCTTCCTAATTTGTCAGTATCCTAGGTAACCACCAATTCCAAAAAGCAGAAACCCTGTTATCATGAATCCAATAATATACACATCTTGTATGTTTCACAGACAGCACAGATAGATAGGCACCTCATCTTCCAATCACCCCAGGAATCAATGACAAACCCAGCTGCACGTGTCCATTCAGGGCATGAGGGTTCTCTAGCACCCAGTTGTCTGGTGGAAAAAAATGTATCAATTGCATTGAGGGACCAGCTGACCAAATCCGTAATAATTTTCAATTCAGAAGATGTGTAAAGATAGGCTCTGAGGTTGACAGGCAAGAGAGCAAAAAAGCAGGAGGGAGAGAGGGTAAGAGCGACCGTCTTTGTAGAAGGCGAAAGAGAGAATTCTATTCTATTCTAAATTTACAAGGATGTGTTCACTGCATAATATACTGTA